CACCCATTTAGGTCATCTTAGATACCCGAAGGATCTCTTTCTAAAGAACCCGAGGCCCATTGGCAATTCATACATAAATTACTGAATATAAAAATATAAGGATACAAACAATTTTGCACAAAAGTATCTTACTTCGAAAGATCAAACGAGCTTTGAATAAAGAAAATGTACTTAGAATTTACGGTTGCTTTCTATATGAAAGCTACTGTGTAAAATTTTGTGAGGCATATGCACACTATTTATAGGGAAAAACAGTAGTTGAGTCATAGTATAATTGTGATAAAAATCGTGTCTATCTAGTTTGATAAAAATTGAATTCTAAAGATGTATGAAATTTTGGGGCGTTACATAGATCCTTTCTGATAGACTTACACCTCTGAGTACAAATGTTTTTCTAGCTATCTACATTTCTGGAAATTAAATTAGAGTATTGTTTATATTTTTTTTGTAGGAACCAATGGAAGAAGATAATTCTTCAACAACATCTAAATTGCATGCTAGTCAACTGAAAAGAGATTCTGAAGATGTTGGTTGGGAAACCGCAATTTTGGTAGATCCTAAAAATCTTAGTAATGTGAAATGCATGTTATGTGATAAGGTTACTAAGGGAGGAATTTATAGACATAAAATTCGCGTAGCCGGAATCAAGGGAAAAGGTGTGGCATCATGTCCTAGAGCAAGTGAAGAACATAAAGCCAAGTGTGCAGAGGCGATTCAAGGGAACACGTCTAAAACAATAGAGAAGCTAGTAAATGATGCTAGGTTGAGGGAAGATGTGGGTATATCTTTGCCTACAATAGATGAGGAGCTAGGGGAGGAAGAAGATAATGAAATTTTGATTATTGAAAGGAGGACTAGGAAAAGGCCTATTAATGTGGGGCCCATAGATCAATTTGCAAGTTCCGTCAATTTCAATGATGCTTCTATGAGTACAAGTAAGAAATTGAGACAACAAAATATGAATGATGCAATTTCTAAGAAAAGGTTATTAGAGGTTCATTGATATTTGGCAAGATGGGTTTATGAAGCCGGAATTCCTTTCAATGCCATTAACAATGATAGTTTTAAACTATTTTTGGAAGCTCTTGGTCAATATGGCCTGGGTTACAATCCTCCTTCCCAATACCAACTAAGGGAGCCACTTTTGAAGGGAGAGGTGGAGAGGACAAAGGAAACTTTAAAGAAGCAAGAAGAAGAGTGGAAAAATAATGGGTGTTCAATCATGACCGATGCTTGGAGTGATAGAAAAAGAAGAAACACCATGAATTTGTGTGTGAATTGTAAATTGGTGACCACATTTATTTCATCAAAGGATGACATTAAAATGACATTGAAGAGGGAAAGTGATTATAGGCCAATCTTAGACACTATTGAAGCTAAAAGCAATGGTCGTCTTGATAGTCCACTTCATA